TTCCTGTTTAAGGTTTCTTGTAAGTTTGTAATATTTGCAATGGTATGTGTATGTCCAACGTCACTTTTCCTGTTTAAGGTTTCTTGTAAGTTTGTAATATTTGCAATGGTATGTGTATGTCCAACGTCACTTTTCATGTTTAAGGTTTCTTATAAGTTTGTAATATTTGCAATGGTATGTGTATGTCCAACGTCACTTTTCCTGTTTAAGGTTTCTTATAAGTTTGTAATATCAGATATAGAATGTGTATGAGTCTTATCTGCTTTTGTCTCTAATGTTTCCTTAAGACTTGGTATTTGGTTAATATAATGTATATGAGTCTTTTTAGAATATTCGTTTTCAGCTCTTGTCACTTCACTTGACATTTTATTGTCAACATATGTTTTGTCTGCTAGTTCAGGATGAGTATGTTCTTTTGTTGCATAAGCATTGTTAGCTCTTTCTTCTTCTTTTGCTATTGCATCGTCTACATATTCTTTGTCAGCTTTGTTGTCAACATCTGCTTTCAAAAGAAGTTCATTTATAGGTTTCTCGTTTAAAGTTCCTTTTGTTGGATTTATACAGACAGTATGGTTCTTATTGTCTTGAAACAGAAACTCATCTGTCATTGGGTTTATTGTCAGTTTTAAGTTTCCTTCTTTCAATGACTCAGATATCTTAGAATAGTTTGAAAAGTTTGTTGTGTTCTTATTTAGAGCTTGCATAATGAGTTGTCGGTTGTGTTGTATTTCTCGCATAGACGCTGTTTCATTTGACATTTTTATTATAGATAAAATATGCTTCCAATAGAAAAAGAAAATTCTAGAGTTGCTACAACTAAACCATTAGATGAACTTTTTACTAATGTCGGTCAAAAGTTTGAGACAGATACCGTAAAGCATGAAGGCTATCGTTTTGACTACCCATTAAGATGGTTAAGAGACCCATCTGTCACAAAAGCTATTGGCTTTCGAAGAATAAAGTTTGTGTCTGTAGAAGATAAAAGTTTTCCATTTATTGTAAGGTTTCATATAGATTATACATCTGAAGGGCAACGAAAAATGTGGGAAGAAATTGAGCTAATACAAGTTGACCTCTCATCTTCTCTACAGACTGCATTAAAAAATATAGAAGATAAAATAAATTCATGTTATGCAAAATATGCTGATGAATATGCGAATACCAATAGCACACTTTATGTGAGAATTGTATATGACAAACAAAATTCACAAGTGTCATTTCAAATCTACGAAGACAATCCAAATAAAGACGAACAAATATATACAGAATTCACTGCAATGTCATGGTATTATTTGCAAAGAATGTTAAATCAGAAAGTTGAACCTCCTTTAGCAAATATCTACAGTCGATATGCAAGAGATGAACCATATTTATTTAAAGATGTTTTCGACCAAGATGCTGTGATAGTTCATGCTTCATTTTCTGGCGCCCAAAACTCTTTCTTATGCTTGGCAAATGACTTTTACGAAAAACCTACAAAGTTATACGAACCACCAAGTGGAAGTATTTCAGACTTTCAAGTATGGTTTACTACAGATGGAAGAAAAAGAATAATTCCATTATACCATGCGTTTTACTTAGAACTTAGTTTCATATACAACTACTATCGAACGGTAAAAATATAATTTTTAATACGGTTGAGGTGTTGGATTTGGTTGCCAACTTGACTGTGGTGCAGGTTCAGGCTGTTGTATAACAGGAGCTTGTTCTTCTGGTTCAGGGTCTTTAGGTATAATACCAACAAGCTGACCTACTCTTTTACCAATATTTTTGACACCGTTCCATACTCCTCTTCCGACAGATTTTATTCCATTCCATATACCTCTTCCAACTCTTCTGAAGAAGTTTCCAATACTACTGAAGAAACCCATTTTACTATATGTAAAAATCTAATGTCCGCCTAGTCTCTTACGTTTCCTGTTGAGTTCCATAGCATTCTTTAACTGGAGCTCATACATTCTGTTTCTCCTCTGGTAGAAAACATATTCTGGGTCAACTCCTGTGTTCGCGTCATCTGCATAAAGTTGTTTATATCCCACTTCAGGGTTTGTATAAAACTCTTTCCATCTCATATTTGCATACCATGGTGGCAAACCTAACGCAGCGTCATTTGACATGGCAGTTTGCATTTGTACATCTGTTGGCACTTGACCATAGTTTGCCATTGCAGTTTGTATTCTAACTTCATTTGGAATATTCTCTGGGTTTGGTTGTCCAGGTTGCTGTGCATTCGCTAAGTTCTGTGCGTCCATTTAATATTAGATAAAAATATCTCTTACGAGTACATATACTGAACATTTGCAGGCATTGGTTCATCTTCATATTCTCTGTACTTTTCTGCCACGTCAAATAAATAAATGACACAATGGAAAAAACCTAAAACAAGTAGTCCTATTTCAAACCACATTTACTTACTAATAAAATTTCTTTATTGTGACACTTTCTCCGGTTTATAGGACCTCTCTCATATTCTATCTTGTCATATATAAACTCATAGTCATGTATGTCCTCTAACCATCTCATAACGGTTTCCAAACCACTTTTATCGGATGTAAAGTAAAAGCATGGATGGTTATGTATAACGTCTAAAGTTTCTAAAGAGTCTCTCAAAGTCCAGTCTACTTGGTATTGAAAATCCCGTGTGTTATAGAACGGCGGGTCCACTATAAAGAAAACATTTTCCTTGTCTTTATATTTTTCATACAACTCTGTCCAATGACATCTCACAAACTCTATACCCTCAATATATTTTTCTATGTTCTCTTTGAAAACATTTGTATAGTTAAGATATAAAACTTTTGACATAAGTGTTTCAATGTCATGAACTCTTATAGCACCACTATATAATAGTCTAGCAGATATACTATCCCAGTCTATATATTCTGTTTTTTTCAAAACCTCTCTCACAATATTTTTCTTATCTAATGGTATACGTTCCATCTTACCTATAGGTATCTTTTCTTTTAACTCTTTCAATATATTGTTTGTGTCTGGAATATGTTTGAGACGGTCCATATAGTTGTCGAAGTCATTGCATATAATCTTTGAGTCTGGGAATACGGTATGACATAAATGGGATATATAGAAACTTCCACCGAACAAATCTACAAATGTTAGACCATTCGGTAGTTTCTTAAGTTCTCTCAATATAATATCTTTACATCTACTCTTATTTCCAAAGAACGGTAACGGTGGTTTTGTAAAATTCATTTATATATAATAATAAAAATGTTTTTACCCGAAAAGTGATAGAAAAGTGACAAAGCATGAAAACATATATAATTTGTGAAAAGCGACACAGTATATAATGTTTTCGACCCAGAAGAAGGCTTCTTCCCAGAAGCAATGGAGGAAGAAGAAGAAGAGGAGGAAATACAAGACTCTATCCAAGAAGAGTCCTCCGAATTCACACCAGAAGACTAACAATTTTCCGAATAAAAACTTCATTTATACTAAACATCTTCGGGGCTAGAGGGCGCAACGCGCCTGGAAGCCCCACTTACCTGACCTGAATGTGATTCCTTTTGGTCGCTGATTGACCATCATTTCAATAGTTTACATTTTGGTGATGTCAGAAAGTCAATTTTTTCATTTGTAATGATTATAACAAGTTTATTCTTATTTTTGGATATAAAACGAATTTTGCAGTCTTTATGACTTCTATTAATATTTGAAATTTGGAAAAACAAAAATAATTTAGCAAAATCAATATAATGGCTCATTTAAATTGTTTAATTATATTATATTTTAAAGGAATGAATATTTTGAGCATCTCCATCTTTCAAATTACAAATATCAATCGAAATAATCAGATGCAATCTTGGAATATTTACCGATATATGGAAAGGAATGGCACCAATTATTTCACTAATTAAACCTGAGCGTGCGATGAATTCAAAGCAAATATATTTTCTGCTAATTATATGATATATATTTATGAAAATGTGATATAAATCAAAATAGACAGACTAACTCCACTCATCTCATTTTTTATTTCAAGAAGAGAAAATATGCTCTTGCAATGAAAAGGCTTAAAATTATATCGATTTATATTAAAATGATAAGACTTTTCGACTTCAAAAAAGTATGAAGTGAATTAATAATCATTTCAAAAGCCTGGATATGTAAATAAAATAATAATATACATATTTATTTTAAAAATTGTCTGCATGAATCATGTGTCAAAAAATGAATAATCGAAGTCAGAAAATATTCGATGATAAAATTTTGAATGGTTTACATCTTTTCTCATGGATTAAGAAGTTTCACTAAGATTTAGAGAAATTTTATCAAATGTGAGAACTCATCTAAAGCCATTCAAACATTGAATAGTATGACAACTTCTAAATATTCTTGAATTATTAATTTGAAGTTAAAAATTAAATTTCATTCTATTTTAATAATGAATTGAATAATTTCTTTCAGTTTTCAATGGAAAAGCACAACACCCAAGTCTAACCATAATTTCATGAATTTTCATTTTTTGACATCAACACAGATAGGTTTTTCATATGTTTGGGAAAAAAATCACCAAAAATTGAAATTTATGTAATTTTTGAACTTGATGCCTAGCGTATCTAGAATACAAACTTGATGGTTTGTTATTCGCATTTCAATAGCCATTTCACCAAAGTTACTCGTCTGACTCCCAAAATTTTAGGGAATTGAAAGGTTTACACACAACGAATTTTATCAAGATTATATTTCAATAGTTTCACAATTATTGAGATAGGAAACGTAATGAAGAAAGGCATCTTTATGATTAATATAATGGATACTTCTAGGCTTTCCATTTCAATACTATAAGATTTGGACATTCTTCAAATTATGAATACCTTTGTTTGCAATTATAATTATGAAACTATTATAATGAAATATCCTAATATAATTCTTTAAAAAAAATAAACATTCCTTTTTTTATGAAAATATTAAAAATATATCAAAAAAACAAAATTAAAATTAAACAAAATTAATTTTCTTTTCTTCTATTTTTTCTTTCTTCAATGTGTTAAATAATCAACAGGTAAATAAGCTACAACGCCATGTTTCGTTACAGCAACAATTTCCTTATTATTCATATCATGAAGCGAAATCAAAGAACCTAACATCTTTATTGGCCTTGTTTCAGACATTCTTTCTGCATGATAAGCTTCAACAACTCTAATTCCTCCTCTTTCATCAGACCAAACCAAGTAATCGAATCCTTTTCTATCCTTCACAGCCTTTATCATTGATATCCTTGCTGTCTTTGCCTGTGTAACTAATTCTCCATTGCATGTGTAAACAGCGACAGAATCTGTTGTGTCATCAGGAGTTGTAGAGACGACAACAACAAATCCCCATGCAGGAGTAACAACAACATGTCTTGGAGACTCAACAGTCAAAGAGAATTTGACAATGACTCTTGTAGTATCAACAGCAAACAAACATCCATCGCGAGTAATAGCAGCAGCCAAGTGGAAAGCATCGCAAATACTGCAATCAACAACTTCTTCTCTGAAGAAAGGAATATTTCCGGAATTCTGCATAGAATGGTCGAACAAATATAATGTTGAATCACTTCCTCCACTGCAAACTAATCTCGTGGAACTATCAATGCATGTTGCCTTTCCTGTGTGTGCGAAAACTTTCTTGGATTCGTTCTTTTCTGTATCGAAAATCTCGATATATCCAAGAGGAGCAGCAATAGCAATTGATTTTCCAAACGTAACCATAGGAAGAGAAGAATCATCACTTGGATGGAAAGACAAACTGGAAACTTCAACAGCATTGTATTCGCCGCCATCATGACACAAAATCTGTCCATGCTGTGTGAAAATGAAGGCTTTTCTTACAACAGAAACAGCAGCGAAAGGATCAATTTTTGTATCATAAATAATTTCACGGCGGAGTTCGTATGTTGCAGATTTAGAAGGATGTTGGATATTAAACAACTGCTGAGGTATTTGTCCGCAGTGTTTCATTGTTGCTTCAATCAATGAACGCTTTCCAGGGTCATTTAATGTCTCATTATTCCATGCAGACTCGTACATGTTTGGATCGAAAGTATTCAATGATTTTTCAGCTCCTTCTCCACAAGAATTCACTCCCCAGATCAAATCAATCCATTTATTTAAGTTCCTTGATACGAAATCACTTTCCAAAGCTTGTCTCATCTTGTAAACGAAATCCAAAGGAGATTTCGCCCAATTTGGAAGTTTTACATCATTTACTTCTTTTCCATTAACTTTTCCAAGATCGAAATGATTCTCATTCACTAAAAATTGCGGCAAATAATAGAATTCAGGTATCAATTCTCTGAAATCATTCATATGTGAAGTGACCATTTTCCATGTATCACCAACAGAAATAAACAATCTTGCAGCGTGATCGAATTTTCCACTTTGCAACTGAGTGTGAAGAGTTGTAAATGGTTCCATTCTCATCAGCCACATGAATACAGTCAAAGGCGATGAATAACAACTGGAATACATGTAATTAATCAATCCGAATTCTGTCAAACTTTTCTGTCTTTCAATGATTTCTTTCAATCTCGATTCCCCGAGAGCTCCGATTGGTTTTGAAAGATCTCTGTAGTTTTTCTCGTTGTCTAAATCCAATTTACTTGATTCGTAATCACTTAATATCCACGGCATGATTGGATAAAGACTTGAATCGTTAAATGTTCGACCACTTATACGATTCAAATACATCAAATACGAGAAATTCGATTTCTTTCCTTGTACCCATTTCTCTGTAACTCCGTTTGTAGCAATCATATTAATGGAAGGAATTGTTTGTATCATTGTCTTCTGCCAGCCATCGAAACTCGCCATTTTCTTGAGAATAGACATTGAATTAACAGTCATATTCAATAAATAACTCTTTCCGTCATGGCAGTATATTTCTAGACCGGTTGGATGATGCAAATAAGGTCTGAAATATACTTTTTTGACGGAATTAGAGCGAATTGAAATTGTTTTTTGTTTGTTTTCGCCTTCGACGTCTATTCTCAATCCGCCTTCAACAATGATCAGTTCGCAAGGACATTCGTAAGTCAGTTTGACCAATGTTCCTTTGTATCTCAGTAAAACAGGTCCTGAATCACTAGACAAAGCTGAATCTCTGTGTGACAAAACTTGCAAAATTTCAGGTGGACTTTCTTTTTCGTACTTTTCCTGGAGCTGTTTCATGTATTCGTCTATTTTAGATTTGGCTGTCAATGCTGATCCGTAATCCCTACTTAATGATGCATCCCTGTGGTCATTGAAGTGTTTGTTCTCTTTCATTCTCATCGGACAATATCCGTAACACAAAACTGGGTCAAGATTATAATGTTTAATTGCTGGTTGTTGGATAGATGATGCCCAAGGAGCTGATTCTATTGTTAGTTGTGTCCAAAGCGTCTTCCATTGTTGAGAAACAAGTAAATTACTCGAAATTATCTCAGGAATCTTTGGTAAATGAATTCTCGAGAATTTAAGTGTTTTTTCTTGTGCTTTTTTAAGGAATTTCGAAATGAAACTGCACAATCTCGAGAATTCTACACTCACTGAGTTAACAAAGTCTTCGTATTGCTTCATAACAAGTTCAACAGGTCCTGTGTAATCAATATTCTTCTGGCGATTGTTTAGAAGTGAAATAAGTTTTTCCAAATTTTGTGATGAAGTAAATTCATTCAAAATCATGGCCAAAGATATATCTTCCCATAAATTCTTTTCATTGAAATTCAATCCATATGTAAATGGTTTGTAAATCTCAAATTTTGTCAAAAATTGAATGAATTTGTCAGGTTCAAATTTGACATTTAATTGTGGCAAAACTAAATTTGATTTGTCCACGAGATTCAAAGGACATTTGCTTATTACAGATAGCAATGCACTGTTATGAGTCTGTTCCCTTCTCGTGAAAATGAAAACGAAACAAAGATTTTCAAAAACTGTCACGTTTTCAGGGAATTTCTTCAAATATTGGCCCATTACATTAAAGAAAATTGTTTGGTATTTTGTATTCATTGTCTGGCATAATCTTACAGCAATTTCCAATAGTACGTAATCAGTTATCCAATTCTTTGGTGATGCTTCCAAAACGAACTCAAAAATCTTTTCAATTGAAGCAGATTTTTTACAATTCACTGCAGCGATGAACGGCCAAAGTGGCCAAGCTTTGTTTGCATGCAAATAATTGTCAATTTTCTTAGGAATCAAATATACAAATGTCTGTTCCAAAGAAGGATTCATTGCCATTATATAACAACAAATAGAAAGATAATCAGGTTGATCAACGCATCTTGTCATTATTCCTGTCAATAATTCTTCATTCATTATGTCAACGGGTAAAAAATTCTTATATACTTCTAAGTATATCAATAATTGGTTCCTAAACACATTTGTTTGTACTAAAACAAAAATTGTGTCTAAAAGTAAAATTGAAATTCTGACACTTTTCTTCAAAAGTAAAGAATGAATTGTTGTCAAATGAGTTATATCTCCTATCTGATTAAAAGGTTGTTTATCAGAACAAGCGATATTATATATAAGCAACAACAATTCGTAATTGATTTCTTCATCTTTTGATTGTATTGTCTGCATAATTAATTCTAAAAATGCTTCATGAGTGAACTGACATTCCGCTCTGAAAACCAATGATTTTATTACATTCATTCTGGCTTTCGGAGTGATCTTATGGAAGTATTCAACGAAAGGTAACAAATATATTCTCAGTTCGCTCTTCTTTTTAAGTGTTTCTTTGATAGATGGCAAAATAATGTTCAGCCAATGTTCAGAAATTCCAATTTGTGAATCAGGAGGAGCCAAACTCAGCAATTTAATGTTCATCAGTATTTCTGTTGACAATTTCTGGCCGATCTGTTTGTTCTGGAGTTTGACGAATACTTGGTAAAATTCTTGGTAAATGTCGATATCGAAACTCTTCAGTAAATACGCGATTATTGAAAATCTGCCGTATTTTTCGAAATCTGCTTGTGCTTCATTGGATATTTCAAGGACTTTCTTGATCAGTCTGACAATAGGAAGAACTCTGACACTATCACTTAAATTGGCTTGTGCAAATAAAGGGATAAGTGAAGTGACCTGATAACTTCTCAAAAATATATCTTGAAAAGTTGGTGTTTGTAAGATTTCCGGACCAATTATTTTAGCTCTTGACGAGTAATCCTTTTTTGTTCTTAGGTTCAAAAGGGAGTTTTCTACTTCAGGATGTACTGAAAAGAAAGCTAAATCAAATGTTCCGTGTGTTCCTATTGTATCTATCGAGTAAAACTGTTTCCATTGTAATGGTGGTGACAAAAAGAATGGGCCGAGTAAGACGGGATGTTCATTCTTTTGTCGTGGTTCAAATGGATATCCACAATTACAAATCATTTGGCCGTTCTCGATTTCAAAGGATTCGTCGAAGGTTTGCTCCAGTTGGCGGTTCTCTACATAGAGTTTTACTACTGTTTGTAAACCTTTTGACAAATTTTCAAATGTCAAAGCGAAGAAAACCCAAATATCACTGTTTAAGCAATTGGGAAATGTCTGGATTTGATTTCCTAATTGAACAACGATTCCGAAATTTTCAACCGAAACGTCGATTATTTTGGAATTTTTGTCCGATAAAGAAAACAATGACGTAAGAGACCTGGAGCTCCCTGAATCGACAAAAGTCCAAAAGCCTGCGGAGAAGCCATGCATAAAATCGGAGGATTTAAGACCGGTGATGCTTATGTATGGTTCTTTGTTAGTTACTGGGAGATATCCGCTTGGAATGTTATGGCCGTTCGAAAGAATGGTAGACATCTCATCAACAGCATCATCAAGTAACGGATTCACGTATTTACTGTCAATCGGACAAAACATTGAAATAAATTTTTGGACAGCAGTTCGAGAACTCGAAACACTAGCGATCAGACCGATTAAATTGAGGCTAAGCTTTACGGTTTTCTTGTCAGAAGGGTTCTCTTGGATCAAATCTAGTAAAGCTATGTCAAGTTTTCCTTTTTGGCACTGTCTGGCGTTTGTGCTTGAGAATATACATAATTGCTCGATAAACTGGAGGTTTCCCATTAACCTCGACGACTTCTTGAAGGCTGTTATGAAAATTGGCAAAGCTGAAGGTTGTTTTATCAAGAAATCGGGTGATAACGCGAGCAACTGCTTACCAGCAAGAAGATTTACCAATTCCATATGCACTAAAGGGCTTGGTTCGTCTTCAAAAGTTATTGATATCGCTTTACTGAGAATATTGGCATCTGCGGCTGTTATTGGGAAGTAGGATGACATGAGAGTTAAGAATTTGATAGAAAGAATGATGAATTCCGGTGGAAATTCATTTGATGACAATCTGATCACTGTCATGAGCTTTTCTTTCAATTCTCCCATGCAGGATGTCTCGAATGCATCGATCTCTACTAATCTTCTGAAGATTTTGAGTGTTAAGTTGACATATCTCTTATCTGTGTAATTTTCACCTGAAGTTATCGAAAAACTGAGTACTGTCGTGATCTGCTGCAAGAATTCATCATTGGGATTCTTGAAGTGTTCAAAGACACTGTCGATAACTACGTCAGAAAAGAAATCTTCGTAAACTAATGAAAAGAAAAGTGACAAAAAGTCCGTAGTTGTGTAAACATCGAAACATTCGCAGTTTTTCATCGACAAGACGAAAAAGTTGACCATGGCGAGTCTTGCCCTTTCGATGCTCAATCGTATTTCAGGGTCAGTTGCTTTGGAATGTGCGTCTTGGTACGATGGAATGAATAATAACGCAATTGACTGGAGAACGAGGAAATGTATCGATGACATTTGGTGGTTTTCCAGGGCACTCGTCATTCTTATGAAGAATTCAGCGGCCATATCCGGATAGCCAACAAAATTTCGAGCAAAATCCGACAAAATTACAGAGCCATTATCAAAAAGGTTGGCGTAGATTAGGTTCCTGACCTTAATTACAGCATCTACAGCATCATTCTTCGGTGAAAAAATCGTGATTTTCGGATCAAATACTTGAGTTTTGAGTAACTCATTCAAAAAGTACTTGAACGGTTCATCGTTCTTAAATAATTGTACGTAGCATTCTACAGCATCTAAAAAAATCTTCTTTTGAGCGAGTTTTGGTAGAGATTCTGTTAATGCTTCTCCAACTGCTTTAGAATTGTTTTCGCAAATGAGTTTTGAGTATATCTTGAGTTGTGGATTCAATTCTGTAGTAGGGAATGTGAATTTTTCCAATTCTTTGATAGAAAAATCAACATTTTCATGGAAATTGTGGCAAATTGAAGGAAATCTTGGCGTATTAATCTTAACACATTCAGGAAATAGTGATAAATCGATCTTAGGATACTTATATCCTTTTGTATGAATATAATTTACGATATCTTGAGGAATTCCTTTGTAAAAGTTATCGAGAATTTCTTGTGGTAAGTATTGTTGTATTGTTGAGAACATAGAAATGCCAAATGGTTGTAATTTTTTCAAAACTTTTTCTATTCGCGAAAATAATAATGTAGCATCTTCTGATGTGATTGAATCTGGGTATATCTTAAGCATTTCATCGATAAATGATAAAAGAATCATTGTATCTGTATCAATATTCGCACTTTCGATTTTTACACTTGAACTCAGTACTTGTTCTGAACAGCTTTGAACTATTGGCGCAGATCTATTGTTAGAGGTCCAATAGACTAATGCTGAGAATAGTTTGGGGTCTGCCTTTCTTTTTGTGTTAATAAAAATTTGAATTATCTCTAAAACTGATTTTGTATCGATCGCAAGAGCATTGTATGATGCGAACCTGATTAGAAAGTAAATCATGTTATCTGCTGTAGCCAATTGTGAATGGCGGCTGAGATAAATCAAAGATTTTAGTACTAAAACAAGATCTGAATCATTATATGCCTCTTCGAGTTGAAAACAATATGATATAGCTGCATGCAATATGTAATATGGAATGGCTTGTAAAATTTCTGGAGGGTGATTAACTTGAAGTTGAATTAATTTTTGTAAACGAGCTTGATCGAAATGCCTATAGTATGATACTTCCTTGAAGGCTGCAACCATACTACTTGACAATTCAAGTTTATTATATATTTGATGAAGTTGTTGCTCTGAATATTTCTCTTTTTCAGCCGCATCAGGATTTTCTCCCGCTTTATATTGCTTTTTACGTCGAGGAATACCTTTCATGCGGAGAGTCGCAATTACAGGGTGGTTTTCAAATGTAAAATTTACTGAAGCACCCTCCATGCTACTGACGACGATTATTTCGAATTCAATAATCAACTACCACCTCAACATCCATAATTATTCTGTTTTTTGGAATGATTCGAATTATAATTCTTTATTCTCAAAATTATTTTTGAATTCTGCTTGGAAATAATTAATTCAAATTTAAAACTTAAATTCAAACCGATATTTTAGTAATTTTCGCTCTAACACATATATCTATTACATATTTTATGCTTAAAATATACGATTTAGCAATTTTATGAATTTATTAATAAGAAAAGTATGATCTGTATCTGGAATAAGCACATAATAAATCAGAATTTCCGAAATTGTTTTGCAATTATGTAACTTTAGGGTGATTCGTGCCTGTATTTCATTTTTGTGTTACAAAATAAAACAATTGAATATAATTTTATTTTGTAAGGCGTTTTTATCATTCAAATTAATTATTTTTGTCAATATTGATAGAGTGTATTTTGCTAATGATATTTTCGTAACTCGTGACCAAGTCACTTTTTTATGTAATTAAAAAAATTCATTAAATCTTAATGTACATATGAAAGTCAGTAAATAATTTTTGGCGCTCAACAATTGAATATGCATTCAAATTCTTAGACTTTTTATTGATGGATCTTTCCATTCTGGATCATATTCAGCCGCTATTTAATCTAGAATTTGTCTCAAGATCATCAGGATCTGATCAAAGCGAGCCCTCAGATGACTACTCATTTGATTATTCCATTAATTTGGAAGATGATTTCAAAAACTGTCCATCAAAAACACCATTCGAGTATGTGCCTCACGCCATCGTAAATATCAGCAAGCATCGTCAAGAAATTCGCGAAAATTACAATCAACATTTTCATGAGATAAAAAAGGATATAAAGGTAATCATAGTTGATTGGTGCATCAGAGTCTACCTAGAGATGTCTTTATCAAAAGAAACACTGTTCCTTGGGATTTATATCCTTAATACAATTCTCAGAATTAAAAGCGTTAAAAGATGTCACTTACAGTTGGTTGCCGCAACTTCTTTGTGGATAGCCTCTAAAATAGAAGAAGCAAGTACTCCAACTTTATCCGATTTTGTAACCGTGTGCGGAAACAATTACTCAACCAGAGAGTTCTATGCATGTGAAAAATGCATACTACGGTATATGAACTACGATATAGCCATTGCAACTCATCAATTTTATATTGACTTAGCACTGGGAACATTTGATGCATCGGAGAGCTACAAAATGTCTGTAGAAATAATTTCTTTAGTTTCGCTCTTCCTTGACGATTTAACAGATTCTCCAAATATCGCTTCAGCAATTTTGTCTCTTGCTGCTTCAATATCTCACGAGAATGACTCGATATGGAAGCTTTCATTTCCTATTAATGAACCTTCAGTTATGATACTTGTCAGTCAATTATCAGATAATTTTAAGGAGCAATTAGCTTTCAAGAATAGCATTATCAGCAAAAAATTCAAAACTATGAATGATAGTATTTGCCGAAACAATGCAATTTAATACGGTTTGTTATTTTGTTTGTATAAAATTTTCTATTATGTTTTTATATTATCAAATAATTTTTCTGAATATAGACACATATAGCCTGTGACGTTTCGTAGTTATCATAATACAAAGGAGTTCACCATTATTTGGAAATCGGATTCGCCCCCTCAATAAAAATCCACAATATGGTGAGTTTTCGATATCCTCAATCATTTATAGGGGATTCATTTCTAAACAAATGTTACTTTAATCAGAATTATGAACAAATCATGTTTCCCATATTTGCATACTTCTTTAGATGGACAGAACCTCTGATTTTAGTTTCAGTTTGTTTAGTTATTCTTTTATTGCTTCCTCTCATATTCTTAGTACGTTCTGATGATTCTTATCTCAAAATATCACGTTTATACAATGTTTCTCGCTTATCTGTTCTCACATTTTTCCATCGAGTCATTTACATTTATTTAATATTCTGTCCGCTATCACTTATTATCAATCAACAGCCCCCATGTCGACAAGCATTTGCTTCATCTAGTTTCCATTATCTGACATATTTTCCTTCACCAAAGTTTGCATCGTTTACCCTCACATGTTTATACATCAGCTCACTTGCATCTGTTTCGAACAGCATTTTCGGCCCAATATTCCTAATTACCAATCTACTTGCGGGTATACATAACATATTTGCAGGAGATTTATCATTTGGACAGATGTTAGCGACATTTTGTCTTACATATGTTATTCACTTCTATTCTATGCGTGTTCCTTTCTGGTTTTTGCATGTGGAAAATATAGTTTTGCCCATTTTATACATTATTATTTTTATACTGCAAAAAGACATTTTCTTCCATCGCACATTTGCTCTAGGAAGGTCAATTACTACACTCTCCTTATGGCTTGCCGATTGCTATATGCTGGGAAGATATCATTATACAAGAGCAGGATTTGTATCTGTTGGTCGACCAATCGATCTTCAATATGAAGCAGATTCAAAATCAAATGCTTATTTTAGCATTCTATCATCTGAAGAAGAAGAAGTTTTTACATCAAACCTCAAAAAAGATTTGGTAGACTCGTGCGTGGCCCAAATTGTATATCTGATAGGTCTAGTTATAAGATATTATGTTAAAGTAGATTTCGTTACTTCTTCAAGTGGATTAATTTGATTTATTTTGTTTGATTAAAGATTATATAGTGTTATATTGTTTGTTCTGAATTACTGGTATTTAACATTAAATATGAAACAAAGTATTTAATAAAGATTTTTTTTAACAAATAATATTTGCTGAAAAGCTCAGTCACTATCGTCATCTTCGTCATCGAAGACTCCGAATAGTCCAGATCTGTATAAAACGCGATAAAAGTCTTCTTTTCCAATCATGCCCTTTTTCTCTCTATCCGCTTCTTTAATCATATCAAGGAGTTCTTGTTCTGTAAGGTTTTCGCCAAGTTCGTCTGTAATTGACTTGAGATCTTCGAATGAAATGTATCCATCTTGATCTTTATCAAAAAGTTCCCAGGCTTGATCAATTTCTATCTTGGGATTTCTCTCGAACATTTTTTCTGCCATAAGAGTTTGGAATTGACTGAAGTCCATTGATTGATTATTTCCATCACAAACTCTTGCCATTAAAGCCTTAGCTTCTCCTTTAGCAGGTACAAAGCCTAGAGCTCGCATAGCAACTTTAAATTGTGAAAGGTCGAGATAAGATGAACCATCTTGTGCAAACATATCGAAAGCTTCTCTTATTTCTTGCTTTTCTGACTCTGTTAATTCACCAACATCGGTTCTTTTAACTTGTACTTTATCACCATCTGATGGTTTCATCAATTACAAATTCTAAAAATAAAAGAAAAAACGATTTTTTCAATTCGGCGCCTAGGATGTCACGAAAACTTTGCGGATTATTAATCATCAATAAATTAGATTCTTATTTTTTATTTCTTATGACTTATTTTTGATTGTTTTAGTTCAGAAATTTTAATCATATTTTAAGTAAACATATATTAGTACTCTCACATATTTGGTTGGCACTTTGCGCCAATCAAATAGCAAAAAATTCAATTTTTCAAATGATTTTTTATTTAATTTTTGTCTGATTATTTAAACTAAAGTAACCAATTCATGAGTAATTACATTGCTACCTTCCTCTTTCTTATTTCTTATTAAAAGAACAATGACCACGGCAACAATAATAAGAACAATTACAGCTGCGACAATTCCTCCGATCATCGCTTTCTGACCTTTAGTTAATCCTGTTTTCTGATCATCTGGTTTTGGTTCATCTGTTTGCTTTTTAGTTGGAGCTGGTGTTGGTTTTTGTGGCTTTGGCTCTGGTGTTGGTGTAGGTTTTTCTGTAGGTTTTGGAGATGGAGGAGCAGGAGTTGATTGTGAACTAGATGATGTCTGTGGTTCTGGTGTGTGAGAACTAGATGATGGCTCTGGTTCTGGTTCTTGTGTTACAGATGAAGATGTTGATGGTTCTGGTTCTGGTTCTGGTGTTGGATCTTCTTCGTCAGGATTAATTGGGAAAGGTGTATCAGCATCATCCTTTGTGAAGATACCACCTTCTGATGAAATTGTGATGTCGAATTCTGGGAAGAAGTTTGTAGTAGCAGTTGTTTGTACGGGTGTGTTATAAGCTATTGTAACAGATTGAGGATCCAATGGTGCATTTGAAGTTACAAGAGCGGATAATGAATATGAAATACTTAAATTACCTTCTTGACCTTCAATTAGGCCATCAGGAACAGTAACTAAATTAGCATCTTCACTGCTCTTCTTATAGTGATAAGTGTGGTTAAATTCACCATATACATGAAATGTGTCATGGAAGAAACCCGGTGGATCCATTACCATTTTAGAGTGTAACTTTTTCTCATTATCTAACTTCGTAGAAATTCTGACACGATGAAGATCAGTAATTGTCGTACCATACATTTCTTTAGAGGAAACATAAGATGGGGCAATGTAAGCTACTTGGACATTGCACATAGAACATGTGAAAAGTGTGATTGGATAATGATCGAATTGAGTAGGCTCGTCATACTGTGCTGGTATCTTTGGAAGGATTAGTAATGGATTTGTTGTTGTTGTGCTTTCATCGTTGAATTTCCATGTTCCATCTTGATCCAAGTATGGATCTTTTGTGGTTGCAGTGAAGGGTCTATTGGAAGCTACCATAATACTTCCATAGGCACAGAACTTTAATCCTGGGAAAAGTATGACAACTTTTTGTTTCGCTGTCATATTTGTGAAAGCGTAGAGGTTATTCTTAGATGAACTTCACTCCTCAAACACATTTTCGTAATCATGAGAAATATCATTTATTGCTCTCTTTCCTGATTTCTGAGAAAACGAGTCTACAAAAAGGAAATGTAACATCAAAAATGAATTATAAAAATAAAAAATAATTTGAAAATTTCCACTCGATTTTGTAACATAATACTATCATCTTATTCATTCACCAAAGTGATGTGGGTAAATAATTCAAAGAAAGATGCCGGTTATGACATTATTAATTCAACCGCAATTTTATGTTGACATGATTTTCGATTTTCTGTGTTATCTCAGTTAGCAAACCATATTCTGTCAAATTTAAAAACCATTCCGAAAGTCCACAATTATCACAATTTTTTGAATTAAGAGCTTTTTACATCATAAGAAAAATAGATTCCTTTATATATTTGCAATTCAAATTTGAGCAATGTTCGAAAATCGATCTGACAGACTTGAAATTTGCCATTTCGAATGAAATAAAGTCTCAATAATCTTCATATTGGAAACAAGAGCAAAATTTTATCAACGTTTGTTATTTTCCAATTGATAATACAAAAAAAAATTAATAATCACACTCAATTTTCTGATATTTACAAATTATCAAAGAAACGTAGGCTTAAAATAGAGTTGAAAAAAAAATATAAATTTCTAACATTATGAAATCAAAATTTTGCTCTTTCGGATCATTTACCCATTGGATGCTTGTCATACACCTTACATTGATGACTAGAAATTAGTATGATAAAACATAACGTGTGATATTTTTGACTTTTGGACTACTCTGAACTTCAAGTAATTTTTATTGAATTTAATAATTTTGATAAAATGTTTGTTAGATACAATATTTAGATTATTATTATATAAATAATGAGAGTTGTAGATTTAAAATCTCTGAATTGAACATAAAAAATTCTAAATTTTTTATATTTTTGAAAAAATGATAAAAAACCGTACAACCATGATTATGAAATTTTTCATTTCGTGATTTTTTTGGAAATTATAAGACATGTTCCATTAATCAAAAACATACAAAAATTGATAATTAAGTTAAATTAAAGACAAATATCAATCAGATGAAGATATGAATATCAAATATGATACTTATAAGCATTATTATACAAACTCAATCATAAATTTAGAAAATAATACTTATAAACATCAATTCTAAACTAAACAAATCTCATTATATAATGCGAGTAAAGATATTCATTTTGAAATATCATATTTACTCAAAATAACTAAGAAAATTAATTAGAGTCATTCATATTTAATATATACAAAACTTTTATAACGTGTAAAGACAGTAAATATTTTCAATTAAAATCATTTTCATCTTGTTCATTGTTATCTTGGCCATTTTCCTCTCTTTCTTGTTCAGCCTTATCAATTTCTTCTTTCTTCTTCTTAAGCTCCTGAACAAGCTCTTCAGCCTTTTGAATTGCGTAACCAATTTTTTGTGCTCTCGATTCAGTCAATGAGGATTGGAACGATTTAGTGCAGATTGGACAGGTAGTCTTAGAACGAGCCCATTCAACGATGCATCTCTTATGGAAAATGTGTCCACAAGGTAATTTAACAACTTCATCAGTAGATAACTGTTGTCTGCATATAAGACATTCTTCTTCTCTGTCGTAATCGTTTATAACCGCAAACTTCAGTTTCTTGAATAATCCAGTGATAAAATTGTGTTTGTCGATTACATAAAAGACCAACATGTATAAGAACATTGTATTTCCACTATATAGATTGAAAAGAATAAATAGAATAACTGTAATGACGATTTCAATGACGTCAAAATATGTTTGAGCTGTTGAGCTAACTAGATCGTTTAAATGGAAGCATTGGTAAAAAATCGTATGTAATGTGAACTGAGTCGAACGTAAAACAATGAAAGATGCAGCTCTTTCTGAGAATAAATTAATTGCAACGAAAATTTGTATAAATAATAGAACAAATAGAGAAACTAGGATCTTTTGGTGAACGGAAATTGGTGTTGGCGCTGCTGTTAAGAATAATCTTTGAACTCTTTCTCGAAAAGCAACTGACAAGTATAATAATGCAATAGATATGAATATGAATGAAACATTGACATAGTCAATATCTCTTTTAACCGAATCCAATCCAAAATATAGATATACGTGATAATCTTTGAATGTTTGAGAAACATAGGTAGGATTGAACGGGAAAATGAAATAATGGACTAATGATATACCAAGTAATGCTAATGAACATAAAAAGTTCGATAGGCTAATTTTGCAAACTGGATCTGATGCAAAATCGTAGAGAAATGATCCGATATCTGGTGTTTTTTTGTAGAAATGTGACATCTTCAACAGTATAAATACCAAGGAAGCATAAAAATATATAAGAACAATTAACTTTAGATTATTCATAATAAAAAGTGACATTATTTTCATCTTGACAAGCTTAATCTAAAATTCATATCTATTAATAAAATTCTATTTGTTGTAAGGAACATAACAAAATTAAGTCAAAATGACACAATTTGGCCTTTAAAAATTTGATTTTTTATTCAAAATTAGAAAGATATGCTGAAATTAGGTATTAAAGCAAACGCATAGATTGCAATACGTGGATATTTCAATGTCATGCTATCTATTCATCAAGGATTTTTATGCGTAATGCAAATTCATGATGCTATTTTTTTTCAACACTTTACAAAGATTATGAAAATTTGCCGTTAAAATTTCAAGTTTTAACTCCAAATGTTAAAGCAAGAAGCTGCCCTTCCACCGAAACAAGCGGCAGCATTCCAAAAGTACTTCGATCTACAGTATAATCTCGTTCATATTAGCGAAAATAACTATGAAGAACTCAAAAAATACATAATTGAACATTTCACTAAACTACCAGAGCTAGTAGAAACAGTAGCCATAGAAATAGTATATGCTGCTTCAACTCGTTTTATGAATGGAGAGCTATACGGACGCTTAGTTGCATACATTTCAAATCAACTACGTGTTAAACCAATATTATCTTTCTTCAAACCAAAGTTTTGGAGTGAATTCCGAACATACTCACTAAATTATCCAAATTTCAAGTTCATTAAGCAGTGTTATTTAGCACACGCATTTTCAATCGATGAAATTATAGAACAGATCGAAACATGGCCAACAGAAAGCGAAACAAACTCGATATTTGACTTCTTTGTATACTTTGCACCTCTAATTAACCAATTTAACATCACAAAATATTTCCAATTACTCACGAAGATAGAGAATCTCCGCAAATTTACTAGGTATCAAAGGATATTCTTTGGCGAATGGGATGAGATCAGAGAAAACAAATGGGAACGCTTAGAATATCTATTTAAATTTGGTGCAGACAAAGGAACATTAAAATACGATCTAATGTATGATGATATCGATCATTTACGAACATTATGTGCTGATAAAGCATTTAACGTTAATCAAACTATTCCTCCTGACTGTTTAGAATTTTCTTTATTGAAAGGTGAACCAACACTTGTACAATACGCCGCATTTTATGGATCAGTACGCTGCTTCAGACATCTTATGCATAAAGGTGCTGATTCTCGTGCTGTTGATAAAAACGAATTAAATCTTTTAGATTTTGCTTTAATAGGCGGCAGCAGAAAGATCATTGATTCTGTTCTAAAGCACGCAAGAGCACTGAAACCATCACTCCATGCTCTCATTAAATATCATTTAGATGAAGAATTTAATATTTTCTATCAATCTTCAAAGTTTACGGAGAATAACTTGAATGCAGCGTTACATATTTGCATACAGATGAATAACCTTAGCATATTTAACGCTCTTCTCTCTTATGGAGTCAGTATTAACATAACATTGAGTGGAGGCTACACAACATTGATGGAATCAGTGATGGATAATCGCTTGGACATCATGAGATTGCTTCTCACATTCAAGGAAGTTGATATTTCAAAGCTGAATGAAGCTGGAAAGAATGCTTTGCATATTGCATGCGAATTAAAGAATGTTGAAGCGGCAAAATTGATTTATGAACGTGCAGGAGCGGAAATATTCACTGTTCCTACTTCAATTTCCAAAGATCTTCCAATTCATATTTCATGCGAGGCTGGAGATATTAAGATGGTCAGATTACTAGCAAAAGTAGCTCCAGAAACATTTAATACACCAAACTTTAATGGTTTAACTCCATTAATGATCGCTTCTAAATCAGATTTTATTGATATCGTTAGAGCCTTCCTTGCAATGGATAATATTGATGTTCTTTTACAAGACAAAGAAGGATTGACTGCATTGCATATCGCAGTTGATGCTGGAAATATGGATATTGTCCAAGAAATTAGTTGGGCGAACAGACAAGTTGTTTCTGTACAAGATAAATACGGATTAACACCTCTCCACCTTGCCACAGAACTTGGTGACGTTGAAATGGTTGAATTCTTCTTGAATTTGGATTATATTGATGCAACAATTAGAGATAAAGATGGAAAACTTGCATCCGAGCTCTCAGATGATAAGGAAATACAGGAGTTATTTGCACAATATCAGAAAAGACAAGAAGAGAAAATATAAACAATTTTTGTTTCTTTTTTTTATAAAAATGATTTACGATCATATATAGGAATACATTTATTTCATAAAATTTGATCATTTGTATTCTTTAATAAAAAAATTTTAGAAAATTTGTTTGAAAAACAACTCAAAATTGACATTTATTGAAAGACATATTAGTAAAAGAAGAGGTATTCATCTAAAATAATGAACAGAGCAATTTAAAGGAGTTATACGTATTGATCTTCGAAAAATTTGATTAATTCAAGTGGATACTTAGCTCGTAATGCTTTGAGAGATGTATCAACCTTCTTTCCATTCTTATTTTTAAGAACCTTGAACATAATGTTTCCATCTTTTTTATAACAGCCAAGAATTGAAATTGATCCAGTATCATCTGCATCATTTTCCTCTATTCCAGAATCAGAACTCTCTGCGGCTGATTCCATTGTTGAGTCTGAAGAGGAACTTTCTTTTGAAGGGCCGAAATCTTCGTCTTTGCCATCAGTAATAGGCTCATTATCTTCTTGGTTATCTTCTTCAAAATCACTATCACTATCTGACTGTACTACGGATTTAACGTTTTGGGATCCCTTTTTTTCTTTTGGTGTTTCGTTCTTTTCTACGAATTTCGGCTCTTCTTCTGCACTGTCATCATTTGACTTTGAAAAAGGAATTTCTTCATCGCCGCTTGATTTAACTTCTTCGTAAGCTTTGATTACATCCATGAATTTTTCGAGGGTATCTAACGTTTCCCATTCAGCCTCTTCTTCTGGAATTCCTTTCCACTTGATTTTGTACTCTTTATTTCCGTTGTTAACGCGGTCATCTAAAACTTTTTCAACCTCCATTTTTTATAGAATTATCTCACTTTTCTGTTATCAGTCATTTTGCAAGATAAAATTATAAACAACTCTGAAGCTTATTTTTACTGCCATTAGAATATCGATGAACATCTATGGTGATATTCCGTACAAAATTCAAATTTACATTTAATTTTGTATTCAATTTCGATATTATTTAAGTCAAATAAAAGAAAAATTATTTGAAACGCCATACCTTGCACCAGGATATCAATAGTCTATCTATAATAAATCAGATTTTCAATAAAACTACCATTTACATTTTATAAATCGATGTCACGTTTTAATTACATAGAATATCTTAAATTATAGATCCAAGGTGATGTGATTTTTGCATCCCTGGGATGGACGATACACCCAAAGTGTCACCTTTTTTGGGATAACATGAATTTTAAATATCATGAGAATTCTGCAAACCATATGCACAATATCTATTCAGCCTGACTTCTTGTATATATGAGTTAGACTTCTTAAATATTGTGCTTGGGGCGATATAAGCATTTCCGAGATTACCATCGTGCTCTATAGTATGCTACTTCTCCCTGGTTCTAGCTCAGTTCCAAGGATATTGGCGTTCAAGGATTTGGCAAGGTCCTTCCGAAGTCTCTCATTCGATGAGAGATTTCGGAAGAATCTTGCCTTAAAGTACTCCAACTCTTGTTCTTTTGTTCCTAAATAGTGAGAAAAGTTATTTGACTACTTAAGGTAGAGATTATCCGAGGTCCCTCATTTGATGAGAGGCCTCGGATAATCTCTGCCTTAAAATTGTACACTTGTAGTCCATGAGAGTGTAAGTATACATTGATAGGACAGCTTTCTTCTGAAGTCTTAGATTTGATGAGAACCTCAGAAGAAAACTGTCCTATTTTATAGTAAAAGGAGTTTCAGGAGCTCCAAAGCTCCCTTTCGTAAGGATTAGGAGCTTTGGAGCTCCTGGTTCGTAGATGTGTTTCGCATCTTTCATCAGCAAAGGACATTTACCATCTGGGACTCTGTTGATGGAGACTCAGGAGCTCCAAAGCTCCCTTTAGTAAGGATTAGAAGCTTTGAAGCTCCTGGTTCGTAGACGTGTTTCGCATCTTTCATCAGAAGAGGCCCAAATGGTAAATAGCCTCTGCTGATGAGCTTCAGGAGCTCCAAGGCTCCCTCTCGTAACGATTAGGAGCTTTGTAGCTCCTGAAGGTAAGGTAGGATTGCTCTGATCTCTAATCAGTAGATGCCATGCCTCATTATGAACTCTACTGACAAGAGATCAAGAGCTCCAAGGACTCCCTTTTTAGTTAGTGGCGTTCTCACCATTTAGTAGGATTGCTGATCCTACTAATGAAGTGATCACTTAGTATACGTTTTGAATAAATTGAATTTTTTTTAGAATTTAGTATTTTTTATAGACATCACATGTATATTATAAATACATAAATATATTCTTTAATTCAAAAAATTCAATTCGGTTTTGGGATGGGTATCCCAGCCCCAAGTATTCAATTTTATTCAATTTTTAAAGAATTTTGGGTTGGGATGCCCAGACCAAAACAAGCTTTATATTTTGATGTGTAGATACGTATGTGTGCATCATTGTTGTGTTATATATTATGTTTTTAATGAAAAAAAATCTGATTCAAAAAAAATTATCACTAATTAGTTGATAATATAAAGAAAAAATAGATAAATTGTATGTTTTGAGAGTATTTATCCACATTCACTCATATGAATTTCATTAAATAGTGTCTTTTTACTCCCAAATTTATTTTGAATTATTGAAATCAAAGAAAAAAAAATCAGAAAAATTTCTCGAAATTTTTATTTTCAAAAAAAAATTTGGATTTTATATTGAAAACTGACACTGGGAGGACGATAGGGCTGGGATTGGAGATACCCCGCTCACTTGGGAAAAATACGGATCTATATCTTAAATAAAACATGTTATTTTCAGACACAAAAGTAATTATACATTAAGAAAAGTCTAAATACCCATTGTGCGCTAATATTTTAAATTTTTCTAGACAATAGGATATTATAAATATAATTTTATCAAAAAACCTGATATGTAAGTGCATAGTTTAATAAAATTTTAATGAAAAAAAACTGTAATTTTAAAAAGTGAAATAAATATAGATAGAGGGTGAAAATCTATTCTCAATCCTGGTCAACATCTCGCATTTCCTCATTGGTAGCAGCAAAATAACCTTCTTTGGTCTGCTCCTGGAAATCTCCCTTGAAAGGATCGTCACCATCATAATTAATTAACTGGGATGACCATAGAGGATTTTCTTGAGTTACAGCAGTGGTAGTAGATGTGTTCATGTATTTGCCAACTTGTTCTGAATCCATTGATAAAACAGATTGGTCGCTTTCTTCTTTAGTTGATCTCTTCTTCAAGAATATTATAATAAGGATCACAACAACAATCAATCCGACACAAGCAGCTGCAATTGCAATAATCATATTTCTCCTGCTTTTCTGTTGGTCCATTTGCTTCTGATAAGCAGGCTCATCAAATATAACAACATATGTTTCTGCTAACGTTATTGTCTGGATTTCAATTGTGGTTTGGGCATTTGCAAATGTATAGTAGAATTCCCCGTTTTTTTCTTGTACTGTTGTTGTGATAGTGTTTGTAATGGAAAATGTGTTAGTGAATGTGGCCATTTGAGTTAATATCTTTGTTGTTGCCTTAGGAAAATCTTTAGGAACATTTGTGATGGCAAGAGGAATATTAGATCTTGTAGGGGAGTTTGTCCTTGTTGTCTGAGGCTTTATTTCATGGATAAGTGAAAATTTTTCTAAATTAGGTTTCGGTTCATCATTTCTGTGAGGGTTTCTGATGAGTGGTGTCGCATAATAGGTAAACTTGCTTGGAGTAGGCAAATCTGTTGTTGATGATTCCAAGCCAATAAGATTTTTAGGTGAAGCGAAAGTATAATATTTAGGGAATGGATATATTGTTTCTGCATCATTGCCACAACTTTTTTGCTCATTAGTTCTTGTTATATTATAATTTCCAGCTATATTAGTTTCAAATGGGATTTGTAAGCAATCATTAACACTCATCCATTTAATACCTTGAAGCATTAAGCAATGACCTCCATTATAATCAATGTTTGAGGATTTATTAAATTTATTTTCTTTAAATATGCAGTTTTGGGTATACAAGTTGAAAGATTCTTGTGACTCCTTTAAACCACGTGCAAAAATTGCACCTCCTCCTCTAATGTTGGCACCAAATCCATTTTTTGCCCGAAAGTTTTTATTTCCATAATCAGAATGGATTTGTTTGTTGTTGCTCAAATTATTTCCTGTAAAATTACAATTGAATAGTTTCAAATTATCTAAATTAATTGCGTATAAAGCACCGCCACTTAATGAAGCGAAATTCTTTTTAAATTCAGACTTTTCGATGTAAGGGGCATTAACTTGATCTAAACTTAAAGATCCTCCACATTCCTGAGCAATGTTTTCATTGAATTTGCACTCTGAAATGAGAAAGTTTTGCTGAATATCAGCAGCACCAAGACTTTCTTCACGGAAACCATTATGAAGATAAATTGCACCTCCTAGTTTGTAGGCTTTATTAGAGGTGAAGGTACAGATTGAAATCCAATAGCTGCTTGCCAGACCACAAATTGCTCCACCTATTGAAGCAACATTTCTTTCAAAAGTTGCTTTATTAGCCTGCAATTTGCAAAAGCAAGTGAAAATTGCTCCTCCAGAGCCAGATTCTAAATATGCTCCAAGTGCACTGTTAGCTTCAAATTTAACATTATCTTGAATTGTAACAGTCGAAAAATAGTAATTATTCGTTCTAATAGTATTATTTGCGCCGGCTTTAATGATTTCGTCTTTGTCGGTAAAATTTTTATATGCATTGACTGATATAACACCATATTCATTAGACTGAAATGAAGGTTTTTTATCCATTTCGAGTACTAACGAATGCGGTATATTATTAATTCTATAAAACACCACAAATTGGATTATACTCATCATTAATTTTAAATAAAAACCTCAAAATTTTTGATAAAATAAATATGAATAAATAATATAATAATATCGAAATTAAAAATAATTGATTTTAATAAAATTTAAAATGCATTCAATTTTATATTTTTCATTCAAAATTTATGAAGATTATTTATTTTCATATTTGTATCATAATAGATATTTGTATCAAATTTCAATAATTTTGGTTCTTTATATTTTATTTTTTATTTTTTAATATAATCAAATTGCTATATGAAATTCTCCTTTTATTATAGCATGCAAGAAAAATTTTGATTCGACTTTTAAGTTTTCATCATTTACAAAAAATTAATCAATTATCTTCTAATCAATTTGCGATCTTAATTCACATCAAATCATATAGTATGGGTTTTCTACATTCTAATTGTTAAAGTATAATCTTTATTCGCATTTTTTTGATAATCTAATTTTTCCATAGTCTTATTTTAATGATATACATATGTGGTGTAATAAACAGAAATTCATCAAAAGTGACAGCTCTCAATTTTTTGACATTTGTAAATTCTAAATTGAATGAGAAAAATGAAATAATACTAAGCATAATACAATATTCTAGATTTAATTATAATTAGGAAAAAGTTAGTTTTGAGAGTACTTTTCATAGGCATATAGAATGAAATCTTCTGAAAAATAATATCACATAAACTCATATTATTTTCTAATATATAACTATTTTATATAAAAATCAAATTCAATGATCTTAAAAGCGAAGGATAAACCTCAAAATTTACGAATATAATGAGTGGGAATATAATGCTTATCTATCATAAAACCATATGAAATATCAATTTTTGCTTTACGCCTAATTTTTGACGACAATTAGCAAAAAATGTTAAATGTTAACACTCAGTCCATTTGAATATGAAAAATAAAATTGACTTTCATTAAATGTTTTTATTTATCATGCAATTCTTCTTGCGACCAAAGATTTGAATAAAAGTTCAAAAAATAAGATAGCTTAAAAAATAATATACGGTAGTGTTTACTAATAGATGAATAGTATATAAATTCTATTAAAATGGATTTGATCCAAAAAAATATAAAACCAAAAATAATTGTTATAATTTAAGGGTGCCCTATAACGATAATGTAAACATCACAAAATTAACCTTATTAGAACTCGAATGAATGGATTATCCGGATTCTAGTTCTCAATATAATAGCCTTAAAAGTGCTTTTCTGAGGGTGGTCTATCGTCTATAGGGCACCCTTAAATGAAGAAGTAATTTAAAACGATTTTATTTATGATCAAATTTTATATATTTTTTTGGATCAAATCCATTTTAATAGAATTTATATACTATTCATCTATTAGTAAACACTACCGTATATTATTTTTTAAGCTATCTTATTTTTGAACTTTTATTCAAATCTTTGGTCGCAAGAAGAATTGCATGATAAATAAAAACATTTAATGAAAGTCAATTTTATTTTTCATATTCAAATGGACTGAGTGTTAACATTTAACATTTTTTGCTAATTGTCGTCAAAAATTAGGCGTAAAGCAAAAATTGATATTTCATATGGTTTTATGATAGATAAGCATTATATTCCCACTCATTATATTCGTAAATTTTGAGGTTTATCCTTCGCTTTTAAGATCATTGAATTTGATTTTTATATAAAATAGTTATATATTAGAAAATAATATGAGTTTATGTGATATTATTTTTCAGAAGATTTTGTGTTCTTCTTCAAAATTTTATTTTTTTATTAAAAAGAATCTTTACAACATATACATTTACTTTAATTAATATTTAAAAACGTGCTCTATCAAAAGTTCCAAAAATTCAATATTTTAGCTTTTCTGAGGTGTCACTTTTAATGAATTTCTGTTTACAACAGTGGCACTATTAATTATTTACTTAAACAAATTGCTGATTTACGATTTCCCTATAAAGGATTTTTCTACTCTTCTAAATAATTGCTCTCACAAAAATACGTGATTTAGTTATGGCTATTCTTTCTAATTATTGAACCTCTAAATATATTTTTTCATGGTAATTGCATTATCATAGAAATACAACTTCATAAACATCCTTATTACATCATTCAAGAAGCGTTTAAGTAGCTTCAAAAACTCGATATCTTCGATAAAAATCTATTAAGCTGTTTTCGAAAGATAATGTTACACACCATGATTCAATTTCATAAAAATGAGAAAATTACACTCAAACATATACCTTAAAATTAACATTAGTCGGAATTATCGTCCGCTAAAAAAAATCTCGGTCGCAATTCAATTTTTTTGGACTTAAAGTGGCAAACAGCCGCAGGCTGTGGAGGAAAAGATCTTATATTAAAAATTTTGGCAGGGTCTATCCCTACCATAGTTTAGTGGTACAATCATATATTTGGATAGTAGAGGTCATAGGTTCGATTTAATTTTCGGGGTTTTCTTTTTTTCTTTTTCTTATTTGTTAGTATTTTGAAGGCAAATAATAAATATTCACTAGATTTAACTAAGCATATTATATTATAATGTTATAACACTTGGAATTATTTGCCAGTAAAATAATTAAACTCATTATCGAAAAATGATTTTATCGAAAATTGAACAATAAAGCATTTGTTCATGATATCATGACATATACTTGATATACTATTATATTCAATACTTCAGACTTCTATTTCTTTTATAATTACTGTTAATTAAATACGTAATAGTCATAAACGATAAATATAACACAATTAATTGTATCAATTCCTTTAAAATCTATTGCTTAATAGATTGAAATATAAATCTAAACATGTAATTGATAGATGGAAAAAATATACTGATATATTTTCATTTATGAGCCTACTATTTCGATTTTATGAATCGGAAATACATATATATTTCGGGATTTATATAAATATGCAGAATTTAGACATATGAAAAATAAAATTAATTGAATTTTTGTAGTTTATTTCAATTTGAATGATTTTCATAGATAATAGCTTTAAACAATTATTTATAATTCTAATTACTAGCATGTTTTATGAAAAAAGAAAAAAATCTTTTCAAAAAATTTAATCGAACCTGGTTCCTCAACTCATACAACTACACCATAAGTAATTATCGATTTTCCCTCAATTTTTTAGATATTTATGCTTTCCCCCAATGTGGCTTGATTTTTTTCAACTCCATTATATGAGAAACAATGCTATCCATATAATTACAAATGTATTGGTAAAGTTTAATAAGTATTTTAGTTTTGGCGGGATATTTTTTATCGTCAAAATATTGACATTCTATCGTCAAAATCTTGACACCCTATCGTTTAGAGTACTCAAAAATTGAGAAGGGAACGAGTTTTTTTAAAAGCACCGATATTTCCGGTTAATGTTATAATTTGGCATCTCAAGAAATTACGAGTAGATTCACTTCTATTATAACAAAATGTTTCAACAATGCATATATTCACACAGGGGATATATTTGTGCCATTAACCCTTTTATATATGCCATTGAGGCAGAAGAAAACATTTTTGGGTGAAGTACTCTGAAGTTCTGAGCCAGACTTCAAATATATTGATACAGTGAAATACCCAAAATCATATGCGCTTGCCATGAATATTTATAGCTCGAATTTTGCATTTGATCTTTGTGTTCGATATTTAATTATACATACTTTCGAAATTGTAAGACCTAGCGACTACACATTAACATAATCACTCAACCGAATTAATTGATCCAAATCCTAATACCAATTTGATAAAAAGTCAAAAAATAAGCCATATCTAAGATTACTGTATCAATAAAAAAGGTAGTGGGGCTTCCAGGCACTTCGTGCCCTCTAGCCCCGAAGATGTTTAGTATAAATGAAGTTTTTATTCGGAAAATTGTTAGTCTTCTGGTGTGAATTCGGAGGACTCTTCTTCTTCCTCCATTGCTTCTGGGAAGAAGCCTTCTTCTGGGTCGAAAACATTATATAATGTTTCACTTTTCACAAATTATATATGTTTTCATGTTTTGTCACTTTTCTGTCACTTTTCGGGTAAAAACATTTTTATTATTATATATAAATGAATTTACAAAACCTCCGTTACCGTTCTTTGGAAATAAGAGTAAATGTAAAGATATTATATTGAGAGAACTTAAGAAACTACCGAATGGTCTAACATTTGTAGATTTGTTCGGTGGAAGTTTCTATATATCCCATTTGTGCCATACAATATTCCCAGACTCAAAGATTATATGCAATGACTTCGACAACTATATGGACCGTCTCAAACATTACCAGACACAAACAATATATTGAAAGAGTTAAAAGAAAAGATACCTATAGGTAAGATGGAACGTATACCATTAGATAACAAAAATATTGTGAGAGAGGTTTTGAAAAAAGCAGAATATATAGACTGGGATAGTATATCTGCTAGACTATTATATAGTGGTGCTATAAGAGTTCATGACATTGAAACACTTATGTCAAAAGTTTTATATCTTAACTATACAAATGTTTTCAAAGAGGACATAGAAAAAATATATTGAGGGTATAGAGTTTGTGAGATGTTATTGGACAGAGTTGTATGAAAAATATAAAGACAAGGAAAATGTTTTCTTTATAGTGGACCCGCCGTTCTATAACACATGGGATTTTCAATACCAAGTAGACTGGACTTTGAGAGACTCTTTAGAAACTTTAGACGTTTTACATAACCATCCATGCTTTTACTTTACATCCGATAAAAGTGGTTTGGAAACCGTTATGAGATGGTTAGAGACATACATGACTATGAGTTAGATATGACAAGATAGAATATGAGAGAGGTCCTATAAACCGGAGAAAGTGTCATAACAAAGAAATTTTATTTAGTACAATTTGAACTTTGTTTGCGTAGATATGAATTCTGAAAGAAGTATGAGGGTCTTGTATGACTTTGTACTTCTCCCATAGTTCATGTCTGTCAAAC